CCTCTGGAGAATTGGAGAGCGCCGACCCCTCTGGAGAATTGGAGAGCTGAGGAGCGTCTGCCGGGACCCCCTCGGAGTAGGAGAGATGAGGAGCGTCAGCCGGGACCCCCTCGGAGTAGGAGAGATGAGGAGCGTCAGCCGGGACCCCCTCGGAGTTGGAGAGACGAGGAGCGTCAGCCGGGACCCCCTCGGAGTAGGAGAGATGAGGACCCACCTCAGAGGCTGCGTGCAGCGTGGAGTCCACCTCAGGGATGGCTGCGTGCAGCGTGGAGTCCACCTCAGGAGTGGATGAACAAGGAGTCTTTAGAGTCTTTAATTCAGATAACAAAAAAATCATACTCGGGGAGCAAAGAAAGGCCTGGGATAGAAAGTAAAAAATCCTCCATCTGGGTCAAAACTAAATCAAAGGAGGACGGGTTATTTTTAACTGAATTAAACAGTTCAAAAAGGGCCCAATGAACATGAAAAACATCTTCAGGGGAAAATGAATGAAAAAAGTGAATGCCTGCACGAGTGGATGTGGTGACGGGTGCCGCCCCCACCGGAAACCTGGAAGGTGAGGCGACGGAACCCGCCCCTGTAACGTCAACCGGACCGGACTCACCGAAACGAACAGGAGTGGACCGGAGCTCCTGCGGGACGCTGGATCTCGCCCCCACCGGAAACCTGGGAGGTGAAGCGACGGACCCCGCTCCCACGAAAACACCAGAACCAGCTCTGAAGTTCTGCTCGGCCGACGAGACCGGGCCGGTCGCCGCAGACTGCCTCAGGAACCGTCCACTGCGGCGGCGGCGGGACGGTGGATGGACAGAGACGGAGAGCAGCTCGTCCATCATGGCACGAGGAGGGAAAAAAGAAAAATGGTGAGTGTTGCCGAGTGAGAACCCTGCCCGCTGGGTTCTGTTCTGGTCGGGTCGTACTGTCATGGTTTGAGGTTAGGAGCGAACCCAGAGTGCAGAACAGGGACTCAACTCGGCAGATATACAAAAATAGGATTTTAATGGTAAATAAAAGTACAAAATAAACAAGCTGACGGGGCAGCAAAGCTTACATGAACAAGGCACGGGGAACTCAGGAGACACGAGAGACACGG